TAACAAAAATCCCTCCAAAAAAAAAAAAAAAAAGAGAGAGAGAGAGAGAAATCATGTGACCCTCACATGACCTCTCCTCTTAAAAAAAGAAAGAAAGAGAGAAAAAGAGAAAAAGAAAATAGAGCTGGAGAGTTAGGTCTGGTAGGACCTTTTCCAAGTTCCTTCACCTACAGAATGGAGAAGGACACCAGAGAGGGGGAGCTGAGGAGAAATGAGGGGAAAATCTACCAGAGGCTTTGCCCCTCTGCCAGCTGGGCACTGGGATCGGGTACACAGAAGCGGGAGAAAGATCAGGAAGCAGAGGCTGCCCTGCCTACTGTCAGCAGATGAGGCGCACTTCTCCGCCCTGGGCCACGTGCTCTGCAAATGTCAGTTCACTGGAATCTCACAGCTACCCTGTGAGGCAGGCACTACTCACAGTGCCGTTTTACAGATGAGACAGCCGAGGCCCAACACAGGTCGATAACTTGCCTGAGCTCACACCGGGACCAAGCTCATACAGTCATGCCCTACAGAGCAGCCCACACTGCCTTGGTGAAGGAACAGGGTCCAGGGCTGGTGGGGGAGGGCATCCCTGGGGTCTTGGACCACACAACGGTAGACAGATGTGTGTGGACACATGCCCACGGGATGGGGCTCCTGAACCCAGTCCCCAGGCTTCTGGTCAAAGGGCTCTGGTTGGGCAGACGCTTCTTATTTCCTTGTTGAGACAAGGACTCGGGTCACCATGGTCAGACAGGTGGGAGCCAGGGACTATGATGGTCCCCAGAAAGCTAGGAAGAGTGTAGCCCCTTAAAATGTAGGGGAGGGGGGGACCTGCAGGTGGCATGGTGGTTAAGGTGCTGGACACTCCCACATGGCCGACTACAGTTCAAGTCCCGGACCTGGTGGCTTGCTTTCTCACTTTCTCTCTCTCTGTATCTCTCTATGGTCGAATTAAAATAAATTAATGAATAAATAAAAAATTAAATGAGTCTTTAAAATAAAATAAAATGTAGGGGAGGGCAGGGGCGAAGGGCACATGGCACCAGTGCCTCACTGGTGTCCTCGTCTGTCAGGTGCACCTCGTGTGTCTGCCGTAGGACTTGATGACTAACCTGCAGGCCCCTTAAGCCTGTGGCACAGCCAGAGAGACCAGAGCTTCAGAAGAAAGGTGGCACCTCCAGACAGCCCCTCCTGCCTCCCTGCTGCCCACTGATGGTGCTCTACACCCACCCACCTGCCAGCGTGGCGTCTCCCTGACCCGGCTAAGCCAGAGGAAAGTGAAGTCCCATTCTCCCTTCCCTTTCCCACCACATACAGGCACTTCTCAGTGATCTCTGGCCTCCAGGCAAGACCCGGGAGAGGGTCAATCCACCTTCTTGCCGGCTTCAAGGGAGGAAAGCCAAGGCACTAGGGGCCATACCCCACTGTCCAGTCTAGGGCCCCCAGGAACTTGGCCCCCCTCCCCTGCTGAGCAACAGTTCCATCTTCAGTTGGAGAGACTCAAACTCTCTTATGAGAGGCACTTTTTTAAAAAATAAAAGGATGAAAGGACTGGACAGTGGTGCAGTGGTAGCCCAATGGCCTGCAAGGCTGACCCATGTGGAAGGTTCCAGGTTGGCATGGGAGACTACCCGGAACACACCAGGTACATACACGCCCATGAGCTAGGGCTGGCTGAATTCAGGGGTGTACCACAGCATGAGGACCCTGTTAGAAATGCTTGTGAAAGAAAGAAAGAAAAAAAGATAAGAAATCTTAAAATAAAAGATGAGCAGAGTAAGCTTTTCTGCTCAATTGTGGACGGAAAACCTGCCCCCAGCTGATTGCAGCTCCCCCTCCACCATTTCTTTTGACATAAAACATGTCAAAATTAAGCCAACTGCCAGTTTTGAGTGCTTATTAATATGAAAAGGAAATACAGGGACCAGCAGATGGCATAATGGTTACATCGCTGGACTCCCACATGGCTAACTGTAGTTTGAGTCCCGAACCTGGTGGCTTGAAACTCACACTGGGTGCATGTGTGTGCGTGCCCAAGATCCCCAGAGGAGAATAGAGAAGAAGGGGTTGCTGCATGGCTAACCCCCATGGTGGTGGTGGTGGGGGGGCATGATTTCTCTGTTTCTGTCTCTCTGTCTCTTTCTGCCTCTCTGATGAGCACTTGTGCCCTGTAGCATACAAAAAAAAAAAAAAATATATATATATATATATATACATAATCCACTCTAAAAACAAAAGGAAGCAATTACCCTGGGTAAAAGGGCACCCACCAGCTGAGTGGAGTACCCTGTGTCCTTGCTTGTGGGCAGTAACTGAGGCACTGCCCAGGACTCCAGCCCACTCAGAGCTGTCTGGACAGTGGATCTCTCCTTCCCTGCCAGCAGTTCTAAGACCCTGGCCTAGAGAGCTGGCATGCCTCCCTCCCCCATCAGAGGCCCCAACAAGGCTGCCTTCCCAACCCCTCAGCCCTATTCATCCGAGGTTCTGCCATGGCTGCCCCTCCACCTTCACCCCTCCCTATCAGAGGCTCTGGCAGGGGCTCTAGGAGAAGCACCCAGGATATGGGAGAAGACTGAGTAGTTATTCATGCAGGGCAGACCCAGGACACTGCTAGAGCCAGGAGGCAATTGGGGAAAGATTGATTTTAGAGAGTCAGAGCAGGAGTGTGTAAATCAGCCAGAGAACGCTCCAGGCAGCACACTCGGGCCTCACGTGGCTCACCTCGGAGGTCACAGGCCCTTTGCTGAAACAGTCTCTCCTCGCAACGGCCTACAGGTGGTGGCTGAGAGGTTCCTGTGCTCTCAGTCGGCCATTAGTCTGCAGAATGCCCTGCCTCAGCCCGGGAGCGTCATCCTGGGGAAGCTCCTCCTTTGTCCCTGTCTCCCTGTGTCCAGTCATCTTTCCCTGTTCTGTCCACCCCCTCAGTCTAGCCACCACTGTCCTGTAGCTATAGACACCGCTGACGGCCGGCTGCCTGGAGACGGCGGGTCCGGAGGTGGCAGCCAGCCGGGGACGGGGGGGGGCGGGAGTTGCTGCCCAGCCAGACTCTGACTCATGAGCCAGCCTGAGGCCATGCAGGGGTGTCCCCTGGAAGTGCCACGAGTTGGACCTGACCATCTTCTACTGTATATCAGGGACACTGGTCTGCAGGAGGCCCTGGAACCACACTGGAGGTGGCCCAGCCCTGCCATTTGTGAGGGCTAGGGGTGCAGCCCCTGCCCTGCAGGATCTTTAGTCTGGAGTGCAGAAGGGAAATGGGGACTTGCATCACCCCTGGAAGAGCCACAGAGCAGAACTGCATGCTGCCGTTTCCTCCTTCCTGGGGGAGCTAGTGAGGGAATCTGAGCAGGCAAGCCATGGGGCCTAAGCCTGCCTGTTGGAGTGGGAGCTCAGGAAGGTTAGAGGACAGGACTGGAAAGATCCGGCCACAGGGTCTATACCAGCCACCTGGGGGCACCAGCCTCAGACGGCAAAACATCATTTGGGTTGTTCTGGTTTGTTTTGAAGTTTATTTATCCGTTTCTTTCATGAGAGAGACATGGATACACCTAACAGGATGTCTATACCACAGTTCCCTCTAGTCTCATCAGGTCCAGATCCCAGGCACACATGTATACCCAGTAGGCTCAGAGAGGCCCAGGGTCACAAACCAGGGCCCTCTTCATGTGAGTCCAGCTGTGCCACCACTGTGCCACCACCCAGCCCCAAGGAGTTTGTGATTGCCTCTGCTGAGAGAAGCCTGGGCCTAGAACACCAGCACAAATAGACTGAAGAGAAAGAGAGGTGGAGTGTGGGTGTGAGAGAGGATGGGAGTGGCATATTCCAACCCCACCTCTTTCCAACTGGGGCAGGGAGGAGGGCCGTGGGCAGGAAGTGCCTGGAAGGCCATCTCTCAGTCCTGGCCCCCACAGAGCCCACCCTCCGGCCTCTGCCAGGCCCACAGCAGTCACCTCAGCACTCCCACTCCTGAAGCCAGTGTGGC